TTTAGGGGAAAAATAATTTAGTTTACTTAGTTATTTGATGTTCAACAGGGAAATGTGGGGTTGATGAATTGAATTGAATAACTCGTTATAAATTCAGCGGGCTATATATGAGTGATTCCGGTCACTCATATATAGCCTGCTGAATTTATAACGAGCTATTCAATTCAATTCATCAACCCCACATTTCCCTGCTGAATATCAAATCCCTCCCCGGCTTTAAGTTTSTATGGTATATACAACCCTAWGAATAACAAAGAAAACCTAGTGAATTGGAAACTAATGTCCTTTTATACCCCTGCATACATAACCACCCTGGGGAACCATATAACTAAGAAAGCACGCTTCCACTATTATTAACACCCACTGGTATATATACATTCCGTAACGCTACTAAATACATTTTAGTATAAACATACTAATACATACATACACACTCATACTGCGCTGTGATTGGCTACTCTACTAATGGTCTAATTTGTGATAGACCACTCGCGGCAAAATCAAAATGSCAGCATCTCATTAATAAATGATTTTAAGGATATTTCAATTTGTTTTCATTATTTGACCGATTARTATGTTTATACTAAAACAATTAGACCTCTCGGCCTCGTGGACTACGAGCTAATAGAGAGGTTTAGCATGACGTTCACGGCAAACGCCAAACGACAGAAAAGATCACGTGACCTGCTTTTTTGAGTTTAACTTTGTAGTTTCAACGCGAGAGCGGGTTAGTTTGAGGTTGCCATAATCGTAAAAAGCCGCTCTTTCAAATGACTAACAAAAGCGCAAGATCGGGCACGAAATTCTTAGGTCATTGGTTCAGCTCTGCCGTTAGCCGTTTGCCGTAAACGTGATGCTAAAACTCTCTATTAGCCCATTCGGCCTCGCGGACTCTGCCTCATGGGCTATTAGCTAGTAGTCCACTCGACCTCGAGGTCTAATTGTTAATTATAGTCGTTCAAAGTTTCACGATATTTGGACTTCAAAATCGATCGCCGTCAACCTCCACCGGAAGTAACGGAAAAAAATTATTATTCAAAAAGTTTAAGACAGGCATGACCACGTCCTCAGCTGACACTCTTTCCACAATATATCGAATAAGGGGAATCCCCTTAATTACGGTTTGTGATTGGTTGCTGATGAAATTCTTGGTATCGATGAATAGAAATTATACCATCAATTTTCTATAGAACTTTTAAAATGTATAAACGTACTTCTCAAAAATAAAGCATACAATTTTTGACATTACAATCAGTGGAGAATCTCGCAGCTGATTACTTACAAACAATAGAAGATACGAGTATCGACTGGACTCGAAGCCGATTTCTTTCCAACAGATACAATTGCTTTGCATACCATAACTTGGGTTCATAACAAAATGCAGTTCACAGGACTACAAAACTGCTCCTTGTGGTAACTAGTTAACAAGATTATATATTTAGAATCAGAAATGTTTGCATGGCAAAATCGAAGCCAATGTTATTACTGTTTTATATATTGTCTGCTGTGAAAGTATTGTTAAGTAAGACATTCAGTGTAAATCAAGAGTGCCCTCTATTTCACAACACATATTAATCAATTGGTGACAAAACAAAAATTGGGGGTTGTGTACAGGAAGTCCCTCGACCGCTCAGGCCGCCGAACTACCAAGAACACCATTTAATCGAGTTTTTTTTGGCTCGTTTTGCTGGGGGTGGGGATTGGAAGTGCAATGCGATCCTTGCTGCCCCCCTCCTCAGCTAACAGTCTGAAACCGCGTGACTGAAGGCTTTCACGGCACTCCCAAACACCAGCGTATTGAATATTGGAAATTTGCTTTGAATTATTGGTTGAGACTGAAGTCCATCTCCCACCTAGAGTCCTCCAGCCTCAAGTTCAATTATAAATCCTCCAAATATATACTAGCAAATCAGGCTTCGTTAAAACATGTGGGTTAGATGAAACTCTTGCCTGTCTGATATTATACGCCCATGCGCAGAAAACATATTTAAGTCATTTAATATTATTATATATTTATAAGACTCTAAATGTTATAATGCATATTTTTAAACAGAAAATTGATTCTTTCAGATATGTGAAGCAAGTTGTAAATATCAACAACGCTATAACGGAACAAGAATTACATGTAACTGTGGTTCAAAGACCTTTGTATACATAACGTTTCGTATACTGAATGAGATTAGTAATACAGGACCCTTTCTATTGACTCTCCTTTTAGAGAATCACTAAAACAAACGATACTTATAGACCTATGATATCTCGATAAAATAGGAAAGTTGTACACATAAATAAATGTAACGACCATCAGCTGTCTCTTAGCAATGCAGCCCTCGAATGATTTTCTATTTAGTTAATATACCCATCTTCCCCACTGGGAAATCAGAGAAAACCGACGTTTTTATATTTCTTGAATGATGTTGTTGGAGCCCGTTTCGTGGTACAGGTCTTAGTTTGATATTTTCTGAGGCCAAAAGGTACGGTAAATCTTTCGTAGACACCCTCTGTGGAAATCACTGATCTTATCCATGTCTGCCTTTACAACTGATCCATAGAGGAAGGCTGATTTTATGTTACTGTTGTATAGCTGTAGCTTGGTCTTTGTGTCTTGGTCTGATCTTGGTCTACTGTTTCGACTTCCACATCGTCTGAAGTCGCGCAAAGGCCCCGCGTACCTTGCCTGACTGCCGTGCTTGGATGTCTTTTCTGGCTCTGTTGTCCTGCTTTTGAGGCTGCCTAATACTAGTAATTTACGATCTATCTATCTAACACAACCACACCTTATATATCTCAATGATATATCATCAAAAATAATATCTATGCGAAGAAGATTGCATTTTTACATTAATATATAGGTTCGAATATACCTGTCGGTTGACTAGTGCTACTTTGAATACACAATGAGGGGAACCCCCCTCATTTCACAGCTGTGATTGGCTGGCTAATGCGAACTAAACTGGAACTTGCCAAACACAATACCAAACACAATATTCAAAAAATGATGTGAAAAGATCATACGCAAAATCTGTCAAATCGATCGCGTCGCTGGTAAAAACTATATTTGCGTTGCCTGGACACGGTATGTTCCACCAAGTGGATCTTTTTTATAAATAAAAACATAGCTAGATTTTCTATAATAGTCGAGGTTTGACTACCAGCTGCATGTATGAAAAAAAGAGATGTTCAAATAATTAAACTATGATAGATTGTGGATGTAAAAGAATTCTCATAAAAAAAGACAAGAACAAGCTTATAAAATGGAAAGATAGAAAGGTTGGGATTTTTTTCGACTCTTCGGTCAGTGCAGGAAATCTATTTCCTTATTTTTCAAAATCATTATACTCTCTTACAACCATACAATCACGACTTCACTAGCTCAACAGATAAAGACAATCCCTTTATAGTCGCGCTTAGTGGTTGGTTGGTGCTATGTGGTGTAGATAGTTTTAGTACTAACTAGTCGCTCTTGGAGCGTGAAGTCGGACTAGCTGCTTTTGAAACTAATTGAGAAAGACACAGGATATTACATTAAAATATAAAAATTAGAATAATATATGTATCTCTCTCAATTTTTCTCCAAAATAGCCGAACTCACGGTCTAATAAGAGCGTCTAGTTCAAAATATCGGAACTCTCTTGAGACTTTAAATAAACTTGACCTAAAAGGTCATGTATTTTAAAATTGCAGCTAGGAAGAAGTGTTAGAATGTTCAGCAATTTTTGAGAAAGGAGCATTGTGACAAACTGCCCTACGGTGTTCTTTTATTTTGGTCTTCAAAGATCTGTCCGTCTGACCATAGAACACAAACTGGCACTCTTTACATCCGATTTCATATACCACCCCAGTATTGAGGGTAGGGTCTTTCCTTCCTTTTGGTTTAGGGAAGTTGTCACTAATCTTATTGACTGTCTTATGTGCTACCCTGATGTTATAACGTCTAAGTTCTCGACTTGTCCTTTCTGACGTACCACGAACATAAGGCAGGAGAACAGACTTGCTACTGGGATCTTTCTGACCTTGTAATGTAATTGAATGTAATTAACACCAATATGAACGTTTTAAAAGAGTCCTTGCTTTTTCTGATAAAATCAAACGTAGACAAAATGTCGCTAAGAGATATCATGAAATCTAATACGTTGACCTCTCAGGCCAAGAAAATAAATACTTTACAAAGTAAATCATACCTATAAAATCATTAAAGTCGCCTTTTTGTTAGAGCAGAGTCACTTGAACCATGAAATAGAAACTAAATACTTAGTTACTAATAGGCACTATTTAGACACTATCACTGAACCAGAACAGTACAAAGAGATTACTTTGATTGTTAAAGTGGTCCCTTGGGTATTGCTTATTGGATCAAATAAACTGTTCTGGTTCAGTGCTAACGACTATTAGGAGCTAATAGTGCCTATTAGTTAGTACTTTTTAGTTCTTATTTCATGGTTCATGTGACTCTGCTCTATTGATAAACAAAGTGTCTTCTTGTTCTAATTTGAAATCTTTGCCCACACAAGACAACCTAACGTGAAGAAGACCAAGACATTCGTATGTGGGGAAGTTGCAATTGCCGCAGAACAATAGAAAGTTGCCTGCTTTTTGCGCGCATTGTTACTTTAAAAACATTTATGAAAAGGTCGTTTTCAGAATTAACATTTGCTTTTTTTATCATTCCACTACTCAACGAAGATCCTAACAGATGACTAATCGAAAAAACTGCCAGGACTCGTAGACTGTCTTTCACAGATACAAGATTTCATGAGCGGTGCACACTGACTTGTTTGGGATAGTATTCGATCAACATTTCCTTGTGCACGAAAGTATTTGGCAATTCTCAAATAGAGAATCAAAAATCGGTGACTATTTCAGCCATTGTTATCATGATTGTTCAATACACTTACATCTGTGATTTTCTACTATAGGAAACAATACAGTTAGGTAAATGTATATGGTTTTTAGTTGATTTGTGTTTCACGGATTTAGCGTATGACCCTAATGAGGCAGCATTCGTATTCAATCAAAATTTATTTTGTTTTATTAATCATGTCAACTTGGCTTCTTTTTAAATCTGTCTAATGCTGATGTAGTCTTTCTTGCTGATTCTATTTTTTCTTCTCTATTTTGCTTTCTTTCGTCCGCCATTTTCTTTCTAATTTTTTTCTGAAAAAGAAAGAGAATTGTCATGAGTCCAATTGTTGTGGGCAAATTATTCAAGCTAACATGTTTGTTCACCCAATATATTGCCGTCAGTTGGTCACCATCAGTGTATCAAACATATTTTACTTGTATCGTGATGTTTTTTTCATAAAATTTATGAAATATGTAAACAATAAAAACCAAAATAAGAATCGTTTTATCTCGCAGCACCTTAAAGGACGATTTAGACGTGCAACTTTTGCCTACAACTGTCGCATGAAACATGCTTAAGTCATCCTTACAACATGCCTACAACTATCGCATGCAACATGCGTAAGTCATCCTTACAACATGGCTACAACTATCGCATGCAACATGCGTAAGTCATCCTTACAACATGCCTACAACTATCGCATGCAACATGTGAAAGTCATCCTTACAACATGGCTACAACTGCAGTCGTAAGGTTATCAAACAATTGTTTTTAATCTCTGTGATAGTTGTAGCCATGTTGTAAGGATGACTTACGCATGTTGCATGCGACAGTTGTATGCAAAAGTTGCACGTCTAAATCGGCCTTAAGGTGTCCAGAATCTATACATGTATATGTTGTCCCATTTCAAAACTGCAGTATGCTGATAAAGATCAAACTCTCCACATCTAAATTTCTGCACTGAATTTGAAGGGTTTGATCATCCAATAATGTTCTTGGACAAAAGTGTTGCATAATTCCAGTAATTTAGTCCAGGAGGATCACAATTAGTCATTTCAATAACCGCTGTTCATTGAGATTTTATGTCTGCCTTGGCGAAATCCTCTCTCTCGAAAATTTGAGAATAGCTATCACTGAGGAATTCCAGACAATCCGCAGTCAGTCTCATCCGTCATGTTTTAACAGGTTCTGAAGTGTCATGCGGAAAGTGATTTCTCATTGGCTGAGAATTTTGTTCTTCCATTCGTTTTCTATTTCTTCCATGGAAAATGTGAAAATGTATGCTATACTATCCTGCTAGAAGCCCCTCAAAATGTTAGAATGGTATTTCCGAGTTTTAAAAATTTACTAAAATCCCTGCCCTTGAGCCAGCGTTCGGCGGTCGTTACCAGCCCCTACAACAAATGTAGTCCACGGTCGCTATTCGTGGCTTACCAGCCATATTGCTAGTAAGTAGAAATCTGTTTGTGGCTTACCAGCCATATTGCTAGTAAGTAGAAAGGTCGCTGTTTGTGGCTTACCAGCCATATTGCTAGTAAGTAGAAAGGTCGCTATTCGTGGCTTACCAGCCATATTGCTAGTAAGTAGAAATCTGTTTGTGGCTTACCAGCCATATGTAAGTAGAAATAATTCATACCCTTTTTTCTTCTTCTAGGTGACCCTTCTTTCTTGAATACATTTTAGCTGAAGAGCTGCGACCTTTTTTCTTATATTTGGGCTCAAACGCTGTATCTTGTGGAGCCTTTAATCAAAATGATATATATAAAGGTGTGTTTTTGTTCATTATAAGGAACAGCAGGTCGACCACTACCGTCAGAACGAAGCTTGTGATTGGTCGAGACAACAAAAACAAAGAATTGCAGGGTTATGTCAGACAATGCCTATTGTTATACTGGACATCTTCGTTCTTTGTACTGTCTCTCTTTGTTATTTCATCAAATCACAATCTTTTTTCTAACAATAGTGTATAATTCGGAACAGCACCATCTACTGCAGTTAGTAGTATTAAGAAGGAAAGGAGGTTTCCCAGTCATTTCCAAATTATAAAACTTGCCCAAAGATTTCCTCTTTCTTAAAATAAAATTTGAAGGTTGCGGCAAATCGCTCATTATAAGCTATCATACTACGATGAATGGATAAACCTCCCTTCTGCACCGCGACAACCTTATCCAGACAGCCACATTCTCGAATTATAAAAATTGCTCATTTCCTCTTTCTTAAAATTTTTTTATCAGATGAATGACATTAAAATATAGAATAACATCAAACACCCAAAACAGCTTTTAGTCATGTGTTCCCCAGTCTATTTGTGTTGAATCCTATCACAGGACAGAGGACCATTACAGTTGTATGTGGTTGTGTTGTAAGCAAGCAAGGAGCAATGCAAGAATTTTGTTATACAGTAAGTTTGCTCGTGTTTTAGATACTTTAATAACAATACTTGATATATTTGCCTAGTGCTTCTTTCCTAGATTCTTGCAGAACTCAATACATTCAATTGTCTTACCTCATCTTCTTCCTTATCATTGCTTTGCCTGACTTTGTTGACATCCATTGGGTCAAGAGTGATGAATTCTGGCTGAATCTACAAGATTAAAAGGTGTGAAGTAAGATTTCCAAATATTTCTGCAAATTGATATTATGAAGGATGTCAACTTTGTAATTTTTATTGTCACTTGATGACAAGGATTTTCATATCACTAAATCAAGCCTTTAGTACCCAGAGAAGGTTTATAGCATTGAAAGACAAGACTGTTTTACCCTGTCTTTTATATAAAGTACAATATATGTCACATACAAACTTAAAAAAAAGAATCACAAGTTTTGTTTTCTTGAAACCTTCTGTTTCTGTCAATGTACAGTATAATGGTTTTTATCTATCAATTTTACTTACTTTTTCAAGCAAAGATTTAACCTCTGACTCCTGGCGCTGCTTCTTGGTTTGATATGGATTGGTTTCTAAAGCATCGTAGTTTGGTTCGCCAGATCCTTAAAATATAAACAATTTCAAAAAACTTCAATCTTTATGAACTAATACAAAGTAAATGCAAATAGAGCGGATTTCGTAGAGTGGGAAACGGACGGTACTGTACTGTGACCGTAATCGTACTGTAACCAAATTCTAGTGCCCCATTGGTTCACCAAAATTGTGCAGGCCAGGTGTGGTAACTGTGTGGTAACCGTGCGGTAACGGTGTCCCACTCATACGAAATCCGCTCTAACTAAAAGGAAACACAAATCAAAATTGAAAAAAGTGAGAAAAACAAATCATTTATTATTGGATGATAAGGAAAGTTTGCTTAACTTATTTTTATATAGAAAATGTTTGAAGAAGCACACAAACATAACCTACCAGGAATTAAAATACTACTGATTCCTTGTGAATGTCCAATACCCAAAACGTCTTCAAAAGGACAAAACTGCAGACTGTGCACAGAACATGATGGGATCAAATGTTTCATATATGGGGCTTTTTGTTTCTCTGAGAATGCATTTTGCCAAACCTACAGAAAACATGGTTTTACTGTAAATCAAGCAAGCTGTTCATTATCACTCTAAAGAAAGAGTTGTGATGAAAAGTCAAATCAAGTATATAACATCTTTTAATGCAACAAAGCCACAAACAGTTTTCTATATTTTGATGTCACAAAAATGCTCCACTGGAAACACTGCCAGTGGTGTATGACCTTTGTGGACTTTAGAGCGGATTTCGTATGAGTGGGAAACGGACGGTACTGTACTGTGACCGTAATCATACTGTAACCAAATTCTAGTGCTCCATTGGTTCACAAAAATTGTGCAGGCCAGGTACGGTAACTGTCCGGTAACGGTGTCCCCACTCATATGAAATCCGCTCTAAAACTGCTTGAATGTAGCTTGCAGTTTTAACTGCCCACAGAGATCAGATTCAAATATATTTGTATTACTTGATTTCAATACGTTGCTTTAAAACAATTTCATCGTTGTTTTGAGTCAGTCCTGCATCAACTACAGTCAGCTAAACATATAAAATATAGTTGTACCTCCACATTAGGTCCAAATCCTACTGCTAATAACCCGCGCTGACTGATTGACAGGTTACTTGCTGGTGTATAAGTAGAGTAGTTATGTAATTGCTTATATGTCCTGACATCCCATATTTTCATCCTTCCATCCAGTCCTGTTGTTACCATGTATCTGACAATGTAACATCAGTCATTAAAACATATGCTCAGGTTTAAGTTCATGCTCAAAGTTCAAGTTGACAACCAAAATCCTAACTATAATATCATATCAGTTCCTTACAGTCCTCTATTATCAATAGCAACAGCTTGTACTGGTCCTTTATGACATAACATCTTGACTAGAGGATCTTTTATTGTTGGACTCCATAAGGTTACAGTACCTAAACAGAAAATGATTCAATTCATACAAGAAAATCACTTGAAGCCTACATTATTAATTGAATATACATGTAGAGTAAATGCAGTTGTACCATTGTTGTACCATGTACCATATAAAGTAAAAAGTATTTATTTGTCAGTATTCACTAACTAATAGTCTGTCAGTAAACCAAACATTATTGCCGTCACAGTCATTCAGTTAACAGTATTACAGTAAGTTGTTGATTTGACCATTTATTCTATTTGAGTCAAGTGGTTGTTTTTACCATTGAAATGACCAAGATGTAGGATTGCATTCCATGGATTCTGTGTCATTGCATCACATCTGCCAAGTCTAGTTCGATGCTCAGCCACCATTTTACCAGTTGACGTATCTTGGTAACGTAACACCCCATAATTACCCTTAACAAAAACAAATTAACTGTTTAAGAAAAACACATTTAAATGTAAAAAATAGGTATGCAACACTTGTTTATAACAAGCACGTGTATCATCTATACATCAGAGACATTTAACAATTGTAAGCTGTAAGTTTTAGATTCAATTTTATGTTGTTTCTGACATTTTGGACAAGGCTGGCAAGCTGTGTTTTTGAGCTGTGATACATTATCACCATCATCACTGATTCTTACAATACATGTCTTAAATATACATAAGATATTACTTTCTTGTTAAAAATACAATGAGTTTCTTTTCTTCAAAGACCTACAAAACACACTCAATACTGACTCCTGACTGACTCACACTGTCACTCCTGCTCAATCTGTACTTGTCGTCAAATCTCACTCCATTCACACACTAGGATGCTTCATTCTTATATAATGTACTACATTATCAGTAGTCAACTCACCACTGTTGCAAGAAGAAAATGGTGAGGAAGAAACTCCATACGATTGACATACGCATGTTTCTTTATACAGTGAAGTTCTATTCCTTTGTTGTCATAAATATAAACAGCCTTTTTCTGAGCAACAGCAAACATTGTTTCAATATGTAGCCACCTACAGAAGATGAAGAAGAAATACAGTTTAATAATGCTGTGTATACAGCCACGACAAAACAAACAACAACCAATGAGATAATGTACTTACTTATTGGATTTATAGATCATGAATTATAATAGTTTAATAACATTTAATTAATGTAAAAAGCACATTTGGTATAATTCCACATCATATACACATAAAATAAAGTACTAAAACAATGGTGTCTGTTTTACTGGAATTGGTTGAAATCCTGCTAGGATCATACATCTGATAAAGGTCATCCTTATTGTTGTTCTTAATGTAAAGGCCCATTGACACTTGTGATTTTTTGTCACTGAGATCGCCGCATGACCATCGCATGGTTGAACTTTTGCTCCAACTTTGCTGCGACAATAGCAACGCAAAAATTGCAAGTATAAACATGCCTTAAAGAATATTAATTAGGATGCTTTATCAGTATAAAGGTTCATGGATATGACCAAATAGGCCAATCCAATTCAATTCAACCTTTACAACTTTTCAACTTTTCAACCACAAATTTATGAAGTGTTATATCACAATGTTTTTATTTTACCAGCATATCATTACACAGTGAACTTACTTTGCATCTCTGACAGTTTCTTTAACATGTACTTCACAAGTCAACTTTTTACTCTGCCATTCAATGGATGCTATGTGACCTTTTTGACCAGCTATTAGCATAAACCTACAGACAATAGGACAGCTTTAATATTTCATACTAACAATTTCACTAAACAGGCCACTCAAAATTCACTGTCATGCATGTATCCATACTAACATGTGTGCCAATATTATAATAGTATCATACCAAAATAATTTAAATGACCAACATTGTGTATTTCCTGCTGTACCTTTGTCGCCATAAAATCACTACAAATTTCCTTTTTTATTGTACAGTATGGTATCACAACATAATTTGTAATTATAGTTTTTACATAATATTATTAAAACTTCTTCAGGGCCCATCAGTAAAGAGCACTGTTCTTACCTTCCATTCCTAGTGTAGTTTATTCTGTATGGACCAAACTTGTCAAGTTTTAAATCGAAAAACTAAAAGGACACAAATGAGATATATCAAAATGCAAGTTATGTATTAACATGCCATATACATGTACTGTATACATATATTGTTGTGAAATACATGTAACATCATGGAAATACAGTAGTTTGCTTACATAATTCAATTTCAAGTATAATATATGAAAAATTGCAGCACAAAAGGTGAATTACATTTAACAGGTATCTATTGTGAAATACATGTAATATCAAAGAAATACAGTTGTTTATTTTTCCTTATTTCCCAAATCTTTTATTCACAATTTTATAAGAAAATATGACAAATTACAACACAAAAGGTGTATTACATTCAACAGGTATTTATAACCAGCACAATGCGCCGTTCTGATACATAGTGCATCTAAAGGGTCTTTTAAAAAAGTCTTTAGCACCTTTTTGAGATGCTAGACTATATTATATAATTATAATACTATTCCAAATACTAAGACATAATGTAAGAAACTGTACATTCAGATTTCTCATTTGGAAACATCAGCAGCAGCGACGATATCACTGATTTTGCATATCTTGCATTTCTGTCAGTTACCTTTTGTGCACTAGCTACATCTACAGCCTTTGCAATGTCATGTTGTTTGAACCTGTATGTTTTTTCCAATCCCTCTGACTCAAGGAATCTAGAAACAACTATAAATTACTAATGTGGATTATACAAAACTATAATAGTCTATGTGCAAAATGGTGTTTCGTCTGCATGTCTTTAATTCAGATTTTGGGATTTTACTTATCAAAAGAGATCAATTTATCTTTAAGTGCTTGACTTCATTCCTCTATGCTTTCATGTGCTCTCCAAATATGCTTCATATCTTGGTGAAAACCACACACCCAGTTTCAAAAAAAAATTTGACAACCTTGTTTGAACTCCACTGAGCTCACAACCTGAGATAAAGGGGAATTTCTTTAGAGTGGATGAACACTGTTTTCAACTCTATTTCAAGATGAAGTGGATTAAACAAACCCTGGTTCTTCAGTGAGAAGAAGTTCAGCTCTTGCAGCCTGCAATGCAGCATTGTTGTGATAACCTTCATATCTCTTGAGCATTCCTTTCAACTTCTTATCTTTAATTCCCTGAGTAAAATAACATATGATTAAATAATGCATGGTCTGACACTTAATTGAGACAACCAGGCAACAAAACCTTGATATCTACATGTTTCCTGTATCTTGTGTTTGTATAAAGGTTACAGGTCAATGAGAGCTCGTGTTAATGGTACAACTACATAGTATATCAAAAAATGTGCCCCAGCCCCACAAGTATGGAAGCATTTGCCACTATTAAAAAGGTTAGACATGAATGTGCAAGTACTAAGTTACAAAACAATTGATACTAATAAGAATATGAATGCTGTCACAGGGTAGTCTTGATAAGCGAGCGAAAACTCTACATGGAGCCACAACAAATAAATTAGAGCAAATCCAATCATCTTTGAAAATAACACAGAACTTTTGTCATTGTTTACAAGGTATGATTGGTCAAAACAAATCATAACCTATAAGTTCTAATAATACCAAAGTAATTATAACCACATTTACTACAATTCTAAATCTTGATTACATATGTGACCAATAAAACTAGGAGAACATCAGCCGATTGTGTGTGATTATATGTTCCACGTGACACTGATGCTTACCCTAGTTTTCGCTCTCTCCCCTCGAGAGTACTTTTTGACGACTTTAGGGTCCACAGCTGGCTCATTTTTGTCACTTTGTTTCTTCTTGGTATTCTAGATGTCAAGATAAAAGTATTTATTATTTGAAATAATCAATAAACTGCTCAAAAAACGTGTTTTTACGGTCAGTACAATCCTCTTACAATTTCGTCCGCCATGTTGAAAACGCTTGAATGCCGCTGACCGCTGTAGGTTTAATTTGCTTCTTGGGCTCCCTGTGGTAAGCCATCGATCTTTCCAACTGGGGCTCACAGCATTAACTTTTTAAATTAATGTAGGGGATCTTTATCATCCTTTTCAATTAACATTTTAAAAGAAATTTGGACTTAATTATAGCTTCTCATCTTTATGTTTTATTTTGCATGTCTCAGCCCTTACATTCATAGTGGACACGCACCGTATGGAAGCATAGGCTACCCAACTATTGCTTGAGAGAAAGAAAAGAATGAATGCGCACGCTTTTATATTATGTTATCGAATCGGCGTGCGCTGTGGGTTTAGGCATAGGCTACCCAACTATTGCTTGAGAGAAAGAAAAGAATGAATGCGCACGCTTTTATATTATGTTATCGAATCGGCGTGCGCTGTGGGTTACCTGTGGTATTACGTCACTATCGCGCGCCGATACATATACATAATAAAAGCGTGCGCATTCGTTCTTTTCTGTCTCTAATGCATTAGTTGGGCGGCCTATGATGGAAGCAGAAAGCGCGCTTAGATACAGACCAAAGTATAATTGATGGGAAATATGTGCAAAGACAGTTTTGATCGATGGGCATCAGAATATTTTAAGTATAATTTTTTCAAGTTGTTTTATCATTTTTAAAAATCCTTTGTTTAAATTTAATTAAATTTAATAATTTAAAAAATATTTCACCAGGATTCCATTACTAGGAGCATCCATGCCCTTATTAAGGAGTGCACGCCCGTTTTCAAAGGAGTGTCTATTTTTAGATTTTTCTTTAGTCATCTCTTCAGTAGTAGCCTCTTTATCGTAATTGTTTTACTTCAGAAACACTAGACTGAATTCGCTTTCGCCATGGTCCGCCGTGCTTCTATTTTGGTTTCCCGCGGATTTCCCACACTGCTGTAAAACCGGAAGCGACTGACCATTGGTCGATAAAAATCTAAAAATAGACACATGGATGAAAACACTGTACTAATGGTCTCCTGATTTTGCGCCGTCGGCACAATCGGAAAAGTTTTGAACCTGTGAAGCGGTTTATGGTTTCTTGATAGCTTTCTTGAGAGGACCATTGATAGTTACTTTGTCTGGAGTGCCCAAGGAGGGTCAAACGTTGGTTACAAAAACTCTCCCCAACCCCCATAAACAACAACATTTTGTATGAAATAAAGAAATGTAAGTAGTAGTGAGGTAGAAGAAACACATTTCTCTTGCAAGTGCTTTTCATTTGGGAAAACCTAGCTACGATTCAATATGCGGTCCACGTATACAAGATTCGGAAAAATATTTCGTAAGATTGATTTGTATTTTGTTGTTGTCGTACTAATAAATTGTAGTGTTGCTTATTTTTAACTCTCTCTCTTAATGTAAATAGCGAGCTTGGTGCCACAGTCCTCTATCCCTATTATCATAGACTGTCCTCTCTATTAACTATGATATTATTTAGTAGACGCTGTCAGTTTGCGTGAAATGAGAAGAGTGTTCTCTAAATTCATTACGAAAAACTCAAATTGCTTTGAAACGTGAATTTGTCCGCAGAAATAACGAGCCAATAAGAATCCGCCTTTGCTCATTCGCATTACACGCAATGGTAAAACATCTTTTTCAATTTGATCAATTGTGACAGCCACTTTAAACAATTTCACAACGGCGTTTGCGGTTATTAAAAGAATTTGTCAATATTTTACTTTAGAGAGAAAACAAGTTATTCTGAACTGAATCATTATAACACATTTTAGTTTATTTTTTCTATTTTCATATTTCTGCTGATGAAGTAAGCAGCTTTTATTTAATTAGTTGTTCTCGCACAGTTGGTAATTCAAATCCTCGATTATTTTACCTGCTAGAGATAGGTTGGTAGATAGCTTGTTGAGGAAAATTTTTATATAAAAACGTAGGCACTGTTTAGTCCATATTAGCTTTCGCTGTCATGAAAGTTTTTTAATTCAATTCAGTATGCTCTTCAGTATTTAGGTTAGCCGACATTAGTAATGAAATAAAATGAGCGAAATGCGAATCAATTTAAAAAAAATATTGCTTCATATTTAAGCTATGAAACCACTAGAAAGCACTTTTCAGGCAACTTGTATTTACATCATCAACCAATTGTTTTACCGAAAACGTACTGATTCATGTTTTTTAGTTTGCAATTATTCTCAACTTAATTGCAAACTAGAAATTTGAATTATATGTTTTAAGTGATTGGCGCTTCGATAAGACATTCCTTTGCAACATTTTTGGCAACTGTAGTCAATATGTGGGCTTTCTCTTTTTTATTTGAGCAACTCTTCTTTTTAAGCCAAACATCAACACAAAAGGTTTTTCTTTGTAACTGAGTGTGAATTTATGTAAAGAAAGACAATTGTCTTCCTCTGTAAATCTTTTCACCTGTCCATTGAAGCCTTTATTGGTGTGCCTTCATTGGTCAGATTTTTTTGCTATGCGTAATTCAAATCAAATGAACCTATCTGAATGATCTCAAGAATTGAGACAAACAATCCATATGAATTATACATTACTTTTGAACAGGGAACGAGTCTTACTGCTACAGCTGCGAGCGGATATCCGTGGTAAGGCTGGATTGTGAATAAGAGTACCGAAGACGTTTTTAGCCAAACAATTTCTCATCGAAGCAACACTCATTAGAATCTCTGGTGGTTATCAGAACAGGTTGGGAAAATGTCTTTCGCAGGATTCAAAAAACAAATCAACAAAGCGAACCAGTATGTTAGCGAGAAAATGGGAACCGCTGAAGGTACAAAAATGGATGATGAATTTGTCGAAATGGAAAAGAAAACAGAAGCCATTACAAGCCTAGTAAATCACCTTGTGCCAAAGACCAAGGAATTTCTACATCCTAACCCTGCAGTTCGAGCTAAAATGTACATTAATCGTGACAAAGGAATTATGCCTCTAGAAACCCAAGAAGGAGAAATCGGAGATTTAATGCTGAAAGCGAGCCGTGAACTTAGTGTCGACAGCCTGGAGACGGAGTATGCTTCAGCATTGAAAGATGTTGGCTGTTCTCTCATAGAAGTGAGCGATACGCGCAATGAAATGATTTTCCACGTCCAAGAAAAATTCCTTGGTCCTTTGATTGACTTGGAAAACAAGGATCTGAAAGATTTAGCGGCCAGCATGAAAAAACTGCACGGGCGAAGACTGGACTTTGATTGCAAAAAAAGAAAAGCGAACGATCTGAAGAGAAAGGGGAATCGAAATGCTTTGGAACAGGCGAGACAGGACACGAGGCTAGCGGAATCAAAGTTTGATGAATCTACGGCACTCTGCAAGGCAGGAATGTCTGAACTTCTCAACAATGAAGTTGAAATGATTCACCAATTAAGCCAGCTTGTTTGCGCACTATTGGAATTCCACAAGAAATCGGCCGACACTCTCGAGAGGTCCGTTATGCTACTCAACAAACGCGTTGCTAACGCAAAAACTGGTGCCAATGAGTCGGGAAACTTGCGTCCTTCGGCCAAAGGCACGAATCCCTTGGCCGACGACTCGGATACTGTTTCTGAACCTAAGCCTTGTTGCCGCGCTAAGGCTGACTACCAGAAGAAAAATGATGACGAGCTCAGCTTCAACGCCGGTGATTTGATCATGTTGTCTAGTAAGCAAGGCGACGAATGGTATGAAGGTGTCCTCGAGGGAAAAATTGGCAAAATCCCGGCGTCACTTGTGCGAATAATCGTCGACATACCTGACAAGGAAGACGAGCCAGAAGACGATGAAGACCCAGAAGAGACCGAAGAGGACAAAGAGGAAGTTAAAGAAGAAGAAAAAGAAGAGAAAAAAGAAGAGAAAAAAGAAGAGAAGAAAGAAGAGAAAAAATAATTTTAAAACTGATGAACTATAGGACTTTATTTGAAAATTTAAAACATTGGGACGGACACGCTTAGTAATCGAACGAACCACTAATTATAATCTGGTAGCAATTCAGACAGAATCTACAGCAGCACGGTTTTGTTGTGTCAAACACAGGACTGATTTTTACTCAATTAGTATCCCGGGGTGTTGGTTTAATGTGTGTTTTGATTTTCTTGGTAGCGGTATGCAAAGACGCTGTCTAAATCATGGGTTTGTCAATGAAAGAACGATGTCTTTTTGAATTAATAATAGGGATATTTATAAGGCATGTATGAATTATATAAAACAAACTAAATCAGAGTAACTTAATAAATGCGTTCGGTTGTCATTTATTGGCTAGTTTTTGTTCAGATTTGTCAGCCTTCGCTGTTTGGTCAGTTTTGTTTTTGTAACCATAAAATTCATTTTTACAGCCACCAAAATGCTAGAAGAAAAACAGACAGTGTGAAACGCGGTCGCACCGATCATATCGACAACATTTAAAATCCATGAACTAGTCTGTTTTGCTGGAAATAGAATCCATATCGCAAAGAGCGAGAAAACCTTTATGGGAGAGCATACGAGCTTATCAATTCCTGCCGTTTTTCTCGTAGTATATTTAATACAATATTATATTTAGAAAAGATCGCCAACCCAAACCCAACCCAAACTGTGTGGAAGACTGGCAGAAGCATATTTGCTCAACGTTTGCACGTGATGGAAGGCACGTTATGGGCGTCAACTTCACGTGACGTGACGAATGTGGAATTAATGCACATGACCAGACCTTCAATATGAAAACCTAATCAATAATTAATAATTTAAAAAGAGTAGAGTACAGACAATATATCCGTGAAACATTCCATAAGTAACGCTATTTTGGACTATCTTATGAAATTCGTTGTTTTTTTTGCTCAATTAGTGTTTCAGGGTTATAAGCTTGATTACTCTATTATGGTGTAATAGTGACGTATGGAACGCAGTATGGAAAAATCACCTTTATTTCAGTTGATTATATTAGCATATAATGAAATACAAGACACTTTCATTTCCCGGCTATAATAGCTCACTGAATTCCACAAATTGCAAATTATTCTTATTTTTACGAATAAAAAATGGTACAATACAGATTCATTGTTTTTTGTCTTATGTGGACATCAACAAACAGCGTAATAAATTCAAAATTAATATAGTTTTGATGGTAAAATAGTGAGCGTAGTGGTAAGGCCCTGTTGACATGAGACTGACTGTCTCTAGGTGGTAGTACTAATTATTGTTTTATGAAACAAAAACAAAACTAAAAGCTCGCTTTAGCTGCATCCTAGTTCATGTAAAAAGGACCTAAGAAATGCATAACTACGTTATGGACTCCTAGTGTTGTCCATCAATCATTCAATCAATCAAAACAAAATTAAAAGCATGAATGTGACCACAATTTATGACTTTGTGGTCAATACTAAACTTTCTGTTGCTTGAACAATTCTATTCTTACAGTAGCACATTCCTGAAATAGAGACCAGTGTAACAATCTGACTCCTTTTGATATAAATACGAAATGAATATTGTTTTTGTGAAAGACAGGGTCTATTAATGCTAGAATATGATTGTAAATACATAATACTTGGTTAAATATATCATACATTAAAACTATAAATATCAAAGTACAATAAATTAATTATACAAAATATCTTAGATATTTAACTGCAAACTATTATTTCTGGGCTGTTCTCTGTGGCATTCTAATAAATAGCTTGATCAAGACATGGAGCTGTGCCTTAGCATTATGACAATATAGCTAGCCTGAGGTGATCGATACCAAGGACAATTATGTATCCTGCTCAACTGTTGTCTCCCAATGCAAAGACTAACATTGCTCCTTCTTTAGACACTCCAGAGAATTTTGAGAGACACTATATTGTTCTTTCTATTTTCTCTGGTTAATACAATACCTAAAACTATAAATATTTCAATACATGTATTGTCCTTTAAAAGTCAGCATTAAATAACATTCTTTGGTGACACCTTTGTGTAGCCCAAGGTACAATCATTAAATATGTTTTAAATACAGTTTTTTACAAAAAGATAATATATCAACATATACTAAAAGCTGTAACTAGTGTTGTGTAGCAATATCAAGATGTACGTAGCTATTCAGACATATAGCTACCGGTATTTCAAAAAAAGTTGTCAAAGCAAAACAGCGATTGCACAACCAAGAGTTAAAGTGGGCATTCTGGTTTTGAAGGGAAAGACTCACTTATCTCATGAAAAACATTTGCATACCACATAAATCACCATTGCAAATCTTTCTTTGATGGAAACAACATTATTGAGGCTTTCATGAGTGAATATCGCCATCAATAATCCACAAACATAGTAACTTTCAGTTTTGTGCATTCGCTCTTTGCTGTGACGACCTTTTTTGAAATAGCTATATAAAATATAAAGTGCATGTATATATGGTCAGGAAGTGATTGATACTATATCTTGTACTATATAGTTGAATGACTACTTGAAAGTATAATTTACAACTTTAAGAGTGCTTTCAGTAAAAGCATGAAATTCTAATTACTAAATTGTGAAACTTAGAGCTACAATGTAGCTGCACAAAAAACATCAAATAAATTAGTATAAATAGTACAAAATATTATTACTAATGTTTCACACTTTTATTAAAAGCACTCAAACTCTTAACTATCGAGGGATTAAACTCTGAAAGTAGCTTAATAATCCATGTCAAAGACAAAGACCACAGTTTTCTCTCCTAATACATCAAATACTGTAGGGTAATATATGCTAAATGTATACTATTTTCAAATTGGATAATAAAAAAAACATTAAGCCAAGGGTTCATGGTGCACTAGGTAAAGACGGATTGATACAACATGACTATCATGCATAACATGAATTATAAGTATCATCCCTACACTGACTCCGAGTAAGATATTGAGCCTAGGTTCAAAATCTTGGGACAATTTATAGGACACACACAACTAGTTGTAGAACAATTTTTACGTATGATTCTTTCTTGATATAATTAATACGATATGTTGCATTGTTTAATACAGCCTTAAAAGGTAAAATGAAAAAGTGTACATTGATTTCTTGGCTCAACGTTTTTCATATCTAAACCCTACATACATGGAAAATTGTTTAAAATCATCAGTGGACTGTGTATTCGTGAAAGACATTATTTTAAATATAGATATATTACACATACTCTGATTGGCTGATGACCCAGGAAACGATTTGTGTGACTTCTGCTCTAGAGACGAAACTATTCACAACACAATTAAAGTTTGTATGGGAAATGAGTCGTCATGGCAATTGAGAAGTACAAAGATAATTAGACTACTGACAATGTTTGTTTTTTTGTGTGTGGTTTCAATTCATCCCTTATTGTGTTTAACTCATACAGAATAAAATGGTCTTTGCCCTYATGTAAGTATGGTAGAAYAYGCAGGCCATATGATAACCAAAAAYCCATTTGAATTTTTGCCTTTTCTGATTAGATTCTTACAAAATGGGTAGCCCTTCATGATTTTGCAAGATCTTATCCGATTGGTTTACAAGCTATTTGATAAATGAAAAAAACAATAGGATTTACTGTAAGAACAAGGAAACAATGAGCATTGTTTTATTCCTCCAATCACAAGAAACCTTACAAACTCATGAAGGATAACAGTGTACAAAATGCCATCAAACTATGTCTCTTGTAGTTGTGATATAAACATCAGCCAGTAAATATTCCTCTTATACATGTATGTCTCGTATGTCTAACCAAAAACTTGATAACTATCTATTAAATGTTATGATTTAGATATGCCTCAAGTGGACAACTATAAAACATTATTGGTTTCAGATAATGGYTTGATGTACAAAGCTGCATGATATCTTTTAAAATTACTAAAGGAATGTGCTCTTCATTTACAGCAATATTTGATGCCACATAAAAACAATAACAAAATGTAGTTAGGTCAATGAAGACTTGACAGGAATTCCCTGACTGGAATTAATTCTAAGGACTTGAAATTAAGAACTTGAACAACTTCTCAAACTCATTAATTATTTGCGAGGGGAAAAAAGCAAAGACAGTATATTTCACTGAGATAGATTGGCTTTATTGCAGCTTTACATGTAGCTGGGAATTTTAGGTTTCATAATTTTGATTTGCATTAGGATGATTTATCTGTTCATGTCAATCGATGTGCTTCATTCATACGATTTAAAAGCATGTTAACTTCTCATTGAAATCTCAGTATTGTAATGCAGGTTAACTTCTTATTGAAATCTCAGTATTGTAATCCAGTTTAAAATGTTGAAAAGATATCTGCCTGATGATTGTGAGATATATTCAATCATGTATCAAAACTAAGGCTTTTTTTACCAAATTAATTCTACACTTATTTGACTATGTCTATTATTTAATACATTTTCGCTAACTTGGACTTTGAAATTCTCTCAAATTCATACAGCCACAGTGGAGCTAGAAAAACTTCTCAGTCCACAGTCCATTTCTATGGGAGCTGGAAATATTTCAAAGCATGCTATTCTGGGATTTCAAAGTCTATCAGGTGATCTTAATCAGACCACTGGATTGGATGGTTACCTCATGAATGATTAATGAGTTTGAGAATGACATTTCTGCTTTCTTTGGAATAAAGCTCTGCTAATATCAATATTTCAAGAGATTTCAATTGTCTAGAAAATCATACTTTGTAGTGTTCTTACCTCAACGTATTACTTTCAGATGAATCAAAAGCAGTCTTTCTATTTTTCACAATAACATTAGAAAGCTTTTTGGTCACCATGTGTTTTGAGGTGATAGTTTAAACGACCCTCTCTACTGAACTTCATCTGGCAGAGTTGACATTCAAACTGTCTTTCACCTGAGTGCATTTGAAGATGGACATTTAGATGGCCTCTGTGGATAAACTTCTTTGTGCAAATGGAACATTGAAAGGGCTTTTCTCCAGTGTGTGTTTTGATGTGATAGCTTAAAGTTCCTTTTTGTCCAAAGGTTTTATGGCAGTAAGGACATTCAAATGGCTTCTTTCCGGCATGTGTTCTGAGATGGTCTTTCAGATGGTCCTTTCTTAAAAATGTCTTTTGGCATAGAGAGCATTGAAAGGGTTTTTCTCCAAGATGTGTTTTAATGTGCATATTTAGGTCACACTGCCTTACAAACTTTTTCTCACACTGAGTACATTCAAAAGGTTTTTCCTCTGCGTGAGTTCTCAGGTGATAACTCCAACTGCTTTTATGAGAAAATCTCTTCTCACAATATGAACACTGAAAAGGTTGATCTCCTGAATGCTGCATCAGATGGGAATTCAAATTGTGCTTTCGCTTAAACCTTTTACTACAATAAGGGCATTCAAAGGGCTTCTCTCCTGTGTGTGATCGTAGGTGACAAACAAGTTTTGACTTGCAATTGAATTTCTTTGCACAATAAGAGCATGTCAATGAATCAAGAGCTTGTTGAGAGCTATTTCCTTCTCTGACATGTATTTCTACATCCTTCTTATTGTTACTCTCAGCAACGGAGCTGTCATTTACATCTTTGTCTTTTTCAGGTGAAGCATTGTCAGGATTAAGGACAATAATTCCCTCTGAGTATACTCTCACCATGGAAGGGACTTCTTGTTCATATTCTAGCATCATGACATTTTGTTGACCACAGTTGGTGTCTGCATGTGGATTGAGGACGACTTCAATTGACTGACTATCTCTGTCAGCTGTATCTAAGATAGTATCTTCACTGGATCTATCATCCTGACCAGATTTGTCATCAATTGCTGCAACTTGCTCTGGTTTTGGATCTGACATGACAACATGGTCTTGGCCTCTATCAGTATAAATTGAAGAGCAGCCATTATCACAGCCATAATCATCAGTCTGTGTAGCAATACTGCAGAACTCTTTGTTCAAGATTGGCTTACCATGGGCAATGCTGTCTTTTAGTGAGCCCTATAACAATATCATGACTTAGGTATTTTGAAACAAAATAAATGAGTAATGACAGCTTTGCAATGACATTTCTCAGTCGGAAATTTGTGATATCCACTAAGCAAGAAAACATGGGTTTCTTTTCTACACTTTTTTAAAAGAAACATAGCTTTAATAGAGATTATAATTATACTTAGAAGCAACACTTATAATGCTTTGCTGTGCAGTTACTTGTGAACCAATTATTAATGAGATGTCCACTTTACAATTCTTTTGACCTTATAAATTAAATGTAAAGCCTCCGGTGCTTTACATATGAAAAGAGCATGAAATATTTAGCAAAACGATCTTGTGAAGATGTTGACATCCAAAACAACTGCCAAAAATGACTAGATATCACACAGCTATAAAAGCCTGAACGATGTCATGGTGATTCCTGTTAAAAAAGCAAAAGTTGAAACAAATGCTCTACCTTCATTCAACACTGCTGCACAGAAGTCAACAAAGTTAAATGAAATTAAAAAAAAAACAAATGTTAAAAGCATTTGCACTAGGCTTAAGTAATATTGGTTGTAATTGCAAAAGAATTCAACTGTGTGTGTAATGCTACTGACTTCACTTTACAGATTGCATGGATAACAACAGACATGGCATGGTACTATATGTCATCTTGTAGACAGTGAATTTTACCAAATTAAAATACTGATTGAATGCCATAATTTCACAATCATATGAAAGACGCTACATAACAAGTACACTATGTATATACATATTAGAGTGTAACCACTAAAAGTACTGAATAGTGCATGTAGTATAGCTTAGATAACAGAAAACATAAAAGATTTATTCAATACAATTCAGCATTACTAACGTTTTTATGTTTTTTAGTGTTTGCACTCTATAATACATGTGTTTCAACTACTTTGTTTATATTCCTGTACTTTAGTAAACTCACTTTATCTTTAGCTGGCCATTTGTGTTCTCCAGTCACCTTGTTGTAGATGAATAAAGTCAGTCCTGAATTACACTTGTATTCAATCCAGTTAGAATCCATCCTGTTAGCAGATCTACAAGATACAAGTCATTAAAAAGACTTATTTCTCAACATACACTGTATATCAACAACAGTACTACACACATTTGATTCTCTAAGTAAATATTCAAAAGTCTATTAAAGCACTCAAATGAGTACATGATTCCTCCTTGCTGCTGCTGCTGTGTTTGTTGGTGGGTTCCAAATTACATGTACTTTGAAATATCAAATGACTAGGTGATTGCCTTTAAACTCGAAAACTTCATGGTAACATTAGATCCATTGTCATTTCTGTAAACTGGAAAGACCAAACAACAACAAAATAAAAAATATGTTTTTACTGTGTATTTACAAAATAAAAATTGAAATAAAAAAGGAAATTCAACCTATATATCCCGATAAAACACACACTCTCGTTCCATAAACAACACATAAAAAGTTAAGACAGTCTCCTGCGGGACTTACATTGAGGCTTTATCATACTTTATTGGAAATTATCTGGACAAGATATATAGTGGAGTAGAATATGTCATTMATGTAGCTAGCATTCAGAGCAAGCAACTAATATGGGCTAAAGACAGGGCCTTCTCAAATGACTTTGTGCATAAGTTTTGAAACTGACAAACATGGAGGAAAACAGAAACCTTTTGAGAGTTCTTCTGACCCTGATAACTTAGTTAAGTTAATCACTTTCTTGAAGCACCAACCGTCCTAGTCTATTCCCCACTTTTCAAAACTACCTTGAAGTATATGAGCTCATTGTAGGAAATGAAACCTTATCATTTGTTTATAATTGCATTTTTGAAGTTGAATTCTAATTGCAAGAATAGGATTTCTTTATATTTCTCCAGCATGAGTTTAAAGTTGTATTCTTTGAGTGAAACGATTTTTATGCTTATGAATTAGTCCCCAGTCTAAAGAACTACTGTTTTACCTCAGGAAGAAAAATATAAAGAAGTCTTCAATTAATAACTTGCTAAATTTATATAAGTCAGATAAATCATGCTAAATTTTGAACAGTGAATTTTTGATGTGATGCGGGCGGTCGAACAAAATTCATTAACTTAACAAGCGAGCTATCAACAAGAATGATCGATATAATACATAACGCTACATAACGCGTCTACAGATACAAGAACGAAAACTACACAAACTATTTGTGATTCATGGTCAAGAAATACTTGATATTTTTTGAGCTATCGCACAAAGGCTTTTATAAGGCTAAGGGCAATCATGCATATAAAATTCATTGTAGCATCAKCAGTACATACCTCACGTCAAATGCGTATTAAAACCAGTCAGATTGAGTCTGAAGACATTAAGGATTGTAGTTCGATCGGGCTCAAATGCTACAAATGCCTAAAAAGCACACAAGATTGAAGACAGTTGGATATTTTGGCGGCAAACACGCGCTTTGTTATTCATCGATCACTCCTCGACCACGATAAGCAAACAGGCGTTCCTGGCTGGACAATGTGACAATTCCCAGAATCCTATTCGGTAATAACCGGGAGGCCTGGGTGGATTTTTGTTTGTAATAGACCCCTTGCATGTGACGTCAAAACAGCTTCATCTGGAGGGCGAAACAAAAGATTTTTATCCTCTTGGGAACTAGAATCTATTCATTTGTCCTCCAGTTGGAGCTGCATTCCCATGAACTGCAAGGGGTCTATATAAGAACGATATTCCAGGGGCGGATCCAGCATAAGGGGGGGAGGGGAGAGGGGGGTGCTTTTGTCAGTAATATATAGGTAAAACCTATAGCAGATCGAACTGATCATTTTTGTTAGCTGCCAGAAAATTAAACACAATTTGACCAGAAGCAAATTGACTTATATTGCAACGTATCTTTGACTACACTACTCAAATAGATTGTTAAGCAGCATAAGGGCAGACACATGTTGTGTACGGTACTCGATTTCTCGATAAAAGCACAACAGAAGTATAAACAGCAGAAAAAAATGTTTATAATGATATATAAAAGAATTACATCGTCCAAAAAGGGGTGGTGCATCCACACCCAAAGCACCTCCCCTGGATCTGCACATATTCTTATATGCACATATTCTTATCTGCACATATTCTTATATGCACATATTCTTATATGCACATATTCTTATATGCACATATTCTTATATGCACATATTCTTATATGCGTTTCACAAAAATGATCATTGTTTTGATACGCGTTTTCATAAAACAACCCAACACCACGATTCGAATATGCACGGCACGTAGTCCCATTGGTGTGGTAATGTTCTGTGCTCTGCTTTAAAGTTCTCAGTCCTACATCATTAGCACAGGCTAACTATAAGGAGTACTAGTTCTAAGTTCTGAGCTTCTCTTTGTACTTACATACCGACTAGATACATTGTCATAGACCAATATCACGCTTAGACAACAAAACACTTGAACGATGTTGGGGGGATGTCATTTTTTTCCGCTTGTTGCACTTATTTCTCAACCTCCTTATAATTATTGCCCAGTCCATTAAAGGAGCATCATGCTGTTATAGATATACCCAATTGCAAATCTGATCCTGAAGTTTCTCTGTTCTCATGGAACCCTTAAAGGTACACCCCTATATTTGCTACAGTATACAGGTATGTGCCGCTCGACAGGGTCCCTTTTTCGGAGCTCCAAGTCTGTGATAGGGTGTCATTTTTTGTCCATTTGTCTGGGATAGGGTAGTTTTTTGTCTAGGATAGGGTATAGTCTCATTTTCTGGGGTAGGGTGGAGTTTTGGGTTACCTGTGACTGTATCTGCTAGTCCACACTTTCAGCGCTAAAATAATGTACCTTTGTATCTTTAGTCTGGGGTAGGGTATGTAAAATCACAAAAATTGGTCTGGGATAGGGTAAGGGTTTTGAGGGTTGTGCGGCATACCCACACCGGGGATCACATTTTACATCCTAAAAGGTCCATCAAGTAACCCTAGCCATTTTTAAGTGAGGTACAAAAGAGCATTCATTGGAATCAATACTATGTCAAAAGCAATTACACTAAAGAATAAATTTTATTTGAAAAAATATTATCAACTCTGCTGGCAACTAACCCTCATTACATAGGATTGGTAATGTTCACCACCAAAAACTAACTGAGAAGCTGACTGATAAAGACCTGATATAATGCCAACACTGTGGGGGGATGTATAGGGCTTCACCCTCCTTCAAGATACATTCTTGATATTCAGCAGTTCTTAACTTTGGAAATTCAACCAAGTCTGGTGCTTCAACATCAACCTAATAACATCAGAAAACATTAATAGTTWTAATGATGGAGAAACAGTTGTGTAAAAAGATAAAACTGACATTTAATGATGTTTAAGTTAGGAGTTAAGACAACAGACTACAAGGAATGCACAAACATAAATCCAACTTTAATAATGTCCTCCTTCTTGTAAATGCACCAACAACATTTTGAGCCTGCTGACCRATCAGCATAACACTGTAAAAAAGTAGGGAGTAAAAAGAGAAATAATAGTTTTATATTGAACTTYACTCTTGGTCATAAATGCTCAAGTCAATAGTTCATATTTTCACATGACAAATACTTTATTGTGTGTATTTCATGATAATATTTACTTTTCCATCCCTCCCCCTGAATCAATGTTGCAAAAATGGTTAAAGGATGCCTGTTAATGGAAAAAATGAACAAGTTGTATTGTGGGAAATTTAATGCAAACCTTACTTGACTTGTATTGTGTAAAAGTTTGGACTGATGTGGATAGACATTTTCTGTCTGTTCTTTACTGTACAGTCTGATGTACTTCTGCCCTACAACTTGTGTCAGTAGATTATGGTATGGGTCATAGTGTAGGGGAGATATGGTCCCTTTAGGACCAAACCATGCATTAATCTTGACATCACTATCTCCAAGGCAACAGTAGTCAGGGATAATAATATCTTTACGTAGTTCAGGAATCTGCTCAAATAATTGATGTTGTGCCAGATATGCAACCTCAATGTCATTTTCTTGTTCACTTGGCTCAATATAGTTGTCAATAAAATCACTAATAGTCATTAACTTTTGTGTCCACGAATCATCAGTATATCGCAAGCCTAATTCAACAGGCACTRTCCGTCCACCAGCAATATCCTTTAAATACTGCATACTCCATTGTCGACAAGTAAAGCCAGGCCAGTGGTCAATCATGCCATCAATAATGACTGGCTTTTCTAATGTCATGTACGTATTTTGGAAATGTTGTAATGAGGGACAGTAACAATRCTTTATTTCAAGCTTTGGRTCAATTGTAGGGATATGAGTAATCTTAAGCCTCTTTGAAGCTTGAATGTTTTCATTTCCTACTCTTTTTAATGGCAACTTGGTTTTACAAATAGGTCTTTTCATGTCATCTTGAATGCTAGTAGCCAGTCTACACAATATATTATTCTCAACTGGAGCACCCAACAACAGCCCCATATCACAAGCTTCTAAAGCTTTTTGTTTTTCACCAGCTTCGTATAATGAAACAGCCTTGAATAAGCTCGCATATGAGTACACTTCTCTCCATACAATGTCTACATCCTTCCAATGGCCTGTGTTAAGTTTTTCCCAACAACAATCCAACACACTTTGCGAATGAAATATGGCTGAGTTGAAGTCATTGATAAAGTAAAAATCAATTGCTTTTGATAAAAGAAATAGCAAAGACCGTCCACCAAGCTCTTTTACATTTCTCAGTTCATTTTCCAAATCCAAATCGCTTCTTGAAGAAACTTTCGGAAGTAATTTTGACAACACGTCTACTCTTTCTGCCATACTTGAGCCTACAGACGTGTGGCCAGTGGTCAGTGGAATGTAATTTTGAGAGAAACGCTTACTTCTGATAATTCGAACTAAAAAAGATGAGCATAAGAGATTCATTTTACCATTAGCTGTTCAAAAGTTAGCAACTTTTTATGTATTTTTTTATATATAAATACATTAATGTCATTAATTCTGGTGCTAAACACAGGAAGCCCAAACGTTTGACTGAGCTACCTGGCCTTTTAAAAACAATATGGCGTACAATATGCAAAGTTAAAGCTGATAAGTTTGATAATGGCACAAAAAAGGAAAAGGAAGTCACATTTTCAGCTTAGAGACAGTCAGTTCCTGGACCATGACACTGCAACGCTAGTTCATAATGAAATAAGAGAACTATTTAACAAAAAAATCACTCTCAAGGAACGAGAACAGCAATGGGCACTTCCTCAAAGYGACTGTCTTTGTATAGATGAGCCGTTCATGGTGAGTGAGTTTTTATCGTTGAAGAAAGAGCTTAATGCAACTAAGAGCCTCTTAAATGACATGGACATTGAAGAATGGCACCAACATACACGTCGCATGCATAAAGCTGGACTTGTTGTCAAGCATTTGAGACAGAATGCTAATGCAGAAATGTGTACCCAGGCTTGGGCAAAGTTTCAAGAGATACTAGGAACATATAACCTTATCCCAAATCAGGTCCTTACGCATAAAAAAGTGAACACAGTGCACTTGTGTGAGGCCCCAGGGGCATTTATTGCATGCATGAATCATCACATGAAGAATAATGTACCAGGAGTCAAATGGCAATGGAAAGGGACCACATTGAATCCATACTATGAAGGCAATGATCTTAATGCTATGCTAGATGATGATACTTTCATATTTGAGACAMGAGAAAGCTGGAACTTTGGACAAGATGGGACTGGGGATCTGATGGACATACAAAATCTGAAGTTTTTAAAGCAGGACTGTGAAACAATGGGAACAGTTGACTTGGTAGGTACCAACACTAAGAATTCATTGGGATTAGTAGCAAATAATGTAATGTATTGACATTTATAGATATTATTATTAAGTGGGAATGGGAAAATTCAAAGAAGAAAGCATTTTGCAACACTCGCATATAATTTCCTGTTAATTGTTTTATATATAATATTTGAATTGTCTTTAAGGTTACAGCAGATGGTAGTATTAACTGCGCTGATGACCCTGGAGAGCAGGAAAAGGTTGTCAGTCAGTTGATATTCTGTGAAAGTCTTGCTGCTATGGAGGTTCTAAGTGAYGGTGGTAATTATGTAGTTAAGATGTTTACAGCTTTAGAATATCACATGGTTTGCATGCTGTATCTATTGTGCTGTGTATTTGAGGAGGTTCATTTCATGAAACCTGGTAAGTTTACAGTCTTCCTTTATAATAATGTATTATTACTATTCCTATCAATGTAATGGCTGTACATTTCTTGGTTTGTCAAATCAAGGGTTTGATTTTGTTCAGATACTAGAGTGGTTTTCATT